GACACTATTCCTCTGTGCAGTGCCAGGTACATAGCAGGGATGAATCATGGAAAAGATGCTAAGATAGAAAATAAGACTATGAAAGACTCCCTTCCACGATTCCTTTGTTGCTTTTCCTATTGTTTTTTTTGTTTTTTTTTAAACATGAAACCATAGTGTCATCTTCCCATAGTATTTCATACATCTCTCTGGTCCTTATTAAAATCGTGTGCTATCTTTTGGTTTCCTTAGCTCAGGAAGAATATTCATTCAATAAGGACGGAGGAAGGTAATGAACAAGGAGGGGCCAGTGAGACATGGATAAAGTTCTGAAAGACTTGAGATGATGGACCCTAACAAGAGAAAGTTGAAGAGCTGAAGTCTTTGCTCACAATGTGGAATATATTAAGTGTAAGATGATTATCAGATTGACTTCCTTTTCCCAGAAGCATGGTGGACTTAGGTTCTATGGACTTAATACATAACAGAGGTTCTATGTCAGGGGTGTCTTTCTAGCATCAAGGAAAGTAAAACCCTGTAAATGAATTCCAGAAGTCTTCATTTATCAGGAGAATGGAGAATTGTGTTTTCCACTAAATTCAGTTTTTAATGGCTGTCACATACTTTGTGAAGCATTAAATTCACATGTATACTATTTCAATGACAGACGAAGAATCACGCACAAGGTAAAAGCCAATGGAAAACTCTGGGTGATAATGGTGTGTCTATGTAGGTTTGATCGTAACAAATGTATCAATCTAATGGGGGACATTGATTATGGGGGAGGCAGTGCATGTGTGAGGGCAGAGGGTATATGGGAACTCTAGTTTCTGCTCAATTTTGCTGTGAACCTAAAACTGCCCTAAAAATAATCTTTTAAGATGCCAGTGTGGGAGGGGGAAGAACTGTTGCTACTGCATAAAAATAGTTTCACTTGCATTGTGCTTTAAAACTTAGCTACTGCTGGGCACAGTGTCTCATGCCTGGAATCCCAAAACTTTGGGACGCTGAGGTGGGTGGATCACCTAAGGTCAGGAGTTCGAGACCAACCTGACCAATGTGGTGAAACCCTCTCTCTACTAAAAATACAAAATTAGCCAAGCTTGGTGGTGGGCGCCAGTAATGTCAGCTACTTGGGAGGCTGAGGCAGGAGAACTGCTTGAACCCAGGAGGCAGGGGTTGCAGTGAGCTAAGATCTCACCATTGCACTCCAGCCTGGGTGACAAGAGTGCAACTCCATCTCAAAAATAAAAATAAAAACAAAAATAAAACCTAGCTAGTGGTTTCATTCTCTTATATCATCCTGTGAAACTAGAAGGACAGATGTTCTTATTTCCATTTTTCAAGACAAATAAATTAAAACTCAAAGAGCTAAAGTGACTTGTTTTAGTCTAAAGAACAAACAAGCATTCAAATTAGGTCTGAAAATGAGTCTTCTAAATCCAGTGATCCACAAATGCACTTTCCACCTGTATCTCTAACAATTCATAAGCTTTTAGAGAAAAAAGAAATCTTACTTTTGTCCCAGGGTAGATACTCAAAATAAACATGTTATGGATTATCAATGTAATTAAAACATTAAGATAGGAAAAAGAAATGTAAATAAGATCATGACAGAAAAGAAAGCTCATCCAAACTCTAAGGTGCTAATGTCCTTTTAAAAACTCCCGACTGGGTCAGGGGCGGTGGCTCACTCCTGCAATCCCAACACTTTGGGAGGCCAAGGCAGGAGGATTGCTTGAGCCCAAAACTTTGAAAGCAGCCTGGGCAACATAAGGAGACTCTGTGCCCACAATAAAGTAAAAGAAAATTAGCCAGGCATGGTGGACAAACCTGTGGTCCCAACTACTTGGGAGGCTAAGTTGGGAGAATCGCTTAGGCCCAGGAGGTTGAGGCTGCAGTGAGCCATGATCATACCACTGCACTCCAGCCTAGACAACAGAGCGGGACTCTGTCTCAAAACAAAACAAGAAAACAAAACACCAAAAAACTCCAGAGTGATAAGAGATAAGAGGACTATTCTGAAATCACCAACATTAATTGGTCTATGCCAGCAATGAAGGAGAACTGAGTCTCATAGTAGGTCAAACAAATTCCTGGTTTCCCAGGATTGGTAGGTCCAGAAAGAAACCACTAGGGAACACTGGGACAAAAATAATGATTCATCCACCAAAATGGTTGTGCCTGGGTCTTAGGATACAGGCTTCTTAGCCCAAAAGGCAGTGAGTTTCCGTACAGTTTTAACTTCCTAATAATTATAATAGTCATAACCAGTGCTTATTGAGAACTTACTTTATGCTGAGCTTTGGTCTAAATGCACTGCACTTTTCTTAGATTTTTCAGTGAATAAAAAATTAACTTTGCAATATCATAATAACCTTTGAAGTAATCAGAAAATGCCCAGTGGCACAAAGATCTGGGATTTGCCATTCTTGGTTCTCGAATGCTGGTGCTGGCGTCACTGAGAGGGCGTAAAGTGAAGGCCTGGCAGTCGTCCTGTGAATGCCAGACAGCTCTGGACCCACAGAGGAATGTGGACATTTCCTTTTAAAACAATAATTTAATATAAAGCAGTTATGTAAAGGCTCTAGCTCATTTTCTCATTATTTCAAAAATCTGACTTTTTTTTTTAAGATGGAGTTTCACTTTTGTTGCCCAGGCTGGAGTGCGATGGTGCAATCTCGGCACACTACAACCCCCACCTCCTACCTCCCAGGTTCAAACAATGCTCCTGCCTCAACCTTCCAAGTAGCTGGGATTAGGGGCACCTGACACCATGTCTGGCTAATTTTTGTCTTTTTAGTAGAGTAAACTTTGTATTTTTAGTTTCACCATGTTGGCCAGGCTGGTCTCAAACTCCTGACCTCAGGTGATCCACTTACAGATGTGAGCTACCGTGTCTGGCCAAAAATCTGGTTTTTTTTTTTTTTTGAGCCAGAGTCTCACTCTGTCTCCCAGGCTGGAGTGCAGTGGTGCAATCTCAGCTCACTGCAACCTCCGCCTCCCGGGTTCAAGCAATTATCTGCCTCAGCCTCCCGAGTAGCTGGGATTACAGGCACCTACCACCAGGCCTGGGTAATTTTCGTATTTTTAGTAGAGACAGGGTTTCACCATCTTGGCCAAGCTGGTCTTGAACTCCTGACCTCGTGATCCACCCGCCTTGACCTCCCAAAGTGCTGAGATTATAGGCATGAGCCACCAAGCCCGGCCCAAAAATCTAATTTTTCAGAAGCTTTCACTGCCATACAATTCTGTAATGTTAAGCTTCTTCTATGTTGCGAACAATTTCAAAGAGCAAAAGGTAGGTATGTAAAAACCACCTTTTGGGTGGTTTTTGGCATGCTGAGGGTGCTCATCAGTGATAGAATAAGATATTTAAGATATTTATGGAGTTTTAGTGGTGATCTCAGCCCTATACCAGACATAAGGTCAAAACATGGGGAAAATATTCCTTTGTAATATTCCCCCTGGTATTTTGTTTTCTTCCACCTGCTTGTTAATATCTAGAATCAATCTCTCTCTCTCTCTCCTTTTTAGAGACAGAGTCTTGCTCTCACTCATTGCCCAGGCTGGAATGCAGTGGCACAATCATAGCTCACTGCGAGCCTGAACTCCTGGGTTCAAGCAGTCCTCTCACCCAAGCCTCTCAAGTAGCTAGGACTACAGGCAAGCGCCACCAAGCATGGCCTGGAATCTCTTTTAAATAGGATAGAATCCTTTCTGAACTGGCAAAGAATGTTAACATGGAAATACCTAGGGCAGTGATATTGACCTAAATCTATAATAGGTATAGACTTTGGAATCAGAGCTGAGGTTTGTCTGAGTAAGGCTTTGGTGGTGTGATGTCAGGAGACATTTAGGATGGTGGATTGTTACGTAAGGTTTAGGGAGGAGATGTAGGAAAAGGGTCCAAAGATAAACATCTGACTGCCCCACCCCCTGCCTAATAATCAGTATTCCCTTGCAATGCTCAGGCTTCAGGGATTATCCAATGATGGATGATTGCAGTCTGGAAGCATTTAAGATGACTGGCACCAGACCTCTGGTGAACTATGCCGGGAGAGTATTTATCCTGCCTGCAGGTTTATCCCATTTATTCCAACAGAAGTGGAATATCTCGGGCATATGGTCAAGTTCTCTCTAGGTATCCAGGAGTGATTGCTGCCAACAGCGTGGTACCTCCAAGATTACAGCTGAGCTCTGCAGAGCAAGTCCCCAACCTGCTGAATCATCAATTCTTTTTCCTGAGAACATGTCCCATGTCCTGAGAAAACAATTCTCTAATCAAAACACCCCAAACGTGGTCATTTCTATCCTCACAAAAGAAAATATAATTTAAATGAGATTGTGGAGTACTAAACTATACCCAAACCCCAATGCACTAAAATTTTCTATCAAGCAGAGCCACCTAGTGGTAAAAATGGAGCATTTTTTAAAATTCCCATTTATTTTCTCACTCTAGTTTATAGTTAGTTACCCACTTTAAGACAGTCACAGCTAGGCTGGGTGCTGTGGCTCATGCCTGTAATCCTAGCACTTTGGGAGGCCGAGGTGGGTGGATCACCTGAGGTCAGGGGTTCAAGACCAGCCTGGCTATCATGGTGAAACCCCATCTTAAAAAAAAAAAAAAAAAAAAAGAGACTGTCACCTCCATCTGTTTTCCTTACTAAACATCTATTTATCCAAGGTAAACAAACCTACAGTTTGTCATGATTGGAAAGTTTTATGACTAAAACAGAGGCGAAGGCAACAGTGTCTCTTTAGAAGGGCAAGAAAATGCCCTTCTAAAGGGCATTTCTTTATCTTATTTCTAAAGATAAAGAGCCCTAGGATATTTACTTCGTAGCCTTCTATTTTCTGTAACTCACAGTACCTCTTCTCCACACTATGCACATATACACTCATGTAAATGGTCGCATACAATTCATAGGAATGGAGAAGGCAGGCAAAAAGTGTTCCACTGTGGTTCCCAATCCCCTTCCTGCCAGATACACACGATCTGTGGTAGAAATGAGAAGTACCTTGGGTTGTGATTTGATTCCTTTTCTTCCTTCAAGGTAGGTAAACATTCATAGTCAGCTAGGACAAAATAAAAGCAAACTCATTGTTAGTTACTGAAATTCTATTTTCTATCCACAAACCTGATACAGCTAAATATCGCAGTTCTCTGACCTGTGTGGTTACGTGTGCAAAAATGGCCTCACCAAGGAGTGATAGTGGCGAAAAGATTAATGATGGCAAAGCCCTTGAAATGGAGAAAGCACTAATAACACAGATACAAAACTTCAACATGCCTCTGCCCCCGGGAAGGACACAGTTCATCACTGCTTGGTTATTCTGTCCTGTGGCACTCTGGTGCTCCAAAAGCTAGAATCTGCATGCCTCAGGATAGACGCTGGAATAAGATGACTTCGCCTGAGGTTCTAATGTGTCTGCAGAATGATTTCCATCAGATTGCATAGCAGAAAAGAATTGGGTAACGTGGGAAAACAACCAATCTTCCTACGGTCGTAAGTTCTTTTCTATTACACCACTCATTATTTTTAAGGGCAAAAAAGTTATTTGAGTCTATCACCTATGTGTCAAAATAACTTAGCTCTAGTTGTCAAATAGAAATGCCTTTCCCAGTTTTCTCGCTTTAGTGAGTGTGACAGGATCATGATTTTATATTACACAAAATCTCTAGCACAAAACCTAATACAACAACATAGTAAGAAGAGATTGCCTTTATGTGGTGAATTTTTTTCTTCTACTTTTTTTTCTTTTGCATTTGTCAAGTTCTACTAGGTATGCATATTACTTTTAGCAACTGAAAACAACAAAATGAGATTCCTGATCTCAATGACCTGCCCCATCTTCAAACAGAATGGCTTTACAGAGTCATTCTTTCCTCAATATGAAAAACTGTTAGAAATTGTACAAGTTATCTGAGTGGTTCTTTTTTGAAATCATATCTTGATAAGCCTCTGGTAGTAATAATTCTTATAACCAGTCTCTGAATTTTAGAATTCTACTGTACCGTGTTGAATTTGACAGACCCTATTTAAAAATACCCTAGGTATTTTTAAAAGACAAATGGTAAAAACATGCAAATTATATGATAATGCTGGGGTTTATTAATTTAATATAAGTAGTATAAATAATTTATTAATTTGTAAAAGAAATTTTAAAAAAGAAAAAACAGCTGCCATCATTTTAAAGTCCCATTATTGATTTACTAAAGAATAAGGAACATACACTTCCATTACTGCCAGATATCAATTGGAAATTTTTATATGGGGTACGTATATCACCATCTATATGAGCAAGGTCCAATAGAGCATTCTAAAGTGATAGAAATGTTCTAGATTCACACTGTTCATTTAGTAACCATTGGCTACTAAAGCCTCAGTATGTCGCTACTTAAGCCTAATTTTTAATTTTATTTTGTTTAAATTAATTTAAATTTAAATAGCCACATTTGGTGAGTATCTATTATGTCAGGCAGCACAGATCTATGGATACTATGTTTGATAAAGTTTTACATCCAGAGTCAGTTCAAAATTATAGATCTCTAAATTCTGTAATGTATAACGTAATGCCAGATGCTAACTTTTTCAAGATAATTTAGTTTCAGAGATTTCCTTTCTTTAATAAAAGACCATTTTCTGCTTCAAAAAGACCATTTCAACAACTTGTACAGAAATAAAAACAAGCAGCAACAATTAAGCTGAATATTTAAGTATTGTCAGACCAAGTTTATTATCTGCATGCACCAGATTCAATGTGGGATTGGGCTCTGTCTCACTCCAGGATTTATTGAGATATTTATAAAGCTATTGCAGCTTTCTGTTACCAGAGAGGAAAGACGAAACAACTTTAGGTTACCACATACCATTTCTATTCATGCTGTTCATCCATTTATCAAGCTCTTCCACTTCAATTTCCATAACAGAGGGTGTATCTTCCTCAAAAATAGGGCTAGAAATAGAGAGCAAAAGGCTTGTTGGAAACAAATGTGAAATGTGCCGAATTTCATTTGGAAAGAGGCTATAATGTTGAACCTGAGGACAATGAAGTTGATTTAGTGCCCTATGCTCTAAGGAAGCCTGGGGGCTTGCCCTTTTCCAGACAATCAAACTTTAATAGGAAGAAAGGCTACCACAAAAACAAACATACATCCATCACTGGTCCAAAAGTGGGGTGCCCACAGGCCCAGCAGGTGGACTAAAAAGGGAACCCAGGAGATTGACTGCTCCCCTCAAGGTGCAAAGTCAAATCTGCAAGCCTCCCAGGGTGAGGCCCTTCCGGAGAGTTGCCACATTTAGCATTTTAACCTTGCTTAATTTCACTTCCTCTTCCTTGGGGTTTTTTGATCAGTGCCCCAGGTCAAGAGGCCACTGTCAACAGGCTGCAGTTATCACCTGTCCCTTCAACACCCAGGCTTTCCTCTCTTGGAGAAATGGAGCCCATTGCTTTAAGAAATTCACTGCCCTCACTTGCAGAAGCTCAAAGTGCACAGTCAGCGAACAGAGCCTCTGGTTAGTGGAGATGGGGTTGGGAAAGGAGGGACCACCAGCTCTGAAAGCTGCATAGGCGGTGCACTGTGCAGAGGAAGCAGCACAGTTTCTAAACCAGGAGGCTGCTTGGAAGATGGGGAGGGTATGGCATCACCCCAGAACACGCTTCTGGGCGGAGGCTTGTTTTTTCTCTCCCACCCCTCCTTCCCTCCCTCCTCTCCCTTCCTCCTGCTCCTCTCACTCTCCCCTTCTTCCACCTCTCTCTCCCATCCCCGGGGATTCTTGCTGTGCAAACTAATGCTTCTACCAGGGCTCTCCTGCTCAATACCAGCTTAAGTATCTTTCCTGGTGATAAAATTTCTAATCAGAATAAATGAACCGATATCCTTGAAATACAGCCAGGGATAGACTATTTACTATGCATTTGAAATTGGTAGCAGTCAGGACTTTTTTTCTGAATGTAGGACATCAAAATAAAGCAGATGTCACGCTGTCCTTGCCCAGATCACACTCACATGCTGGTTAGGGTTTGGGGATGCCGGCACATTTCCCCCTTCCCTGCCAGTGATCTCCTGCCTGGCCTGGGAAGCAGGAGAGCCCACAAAGTGTCAGAACAAAACTGAAAAGCCAGCTGCCCACCAATATCCTCCTCGCCCTGTTGCTGTTCACACCCCAGTTGGATCAGAAGCAGCAGGGAAAACTTACACTTTCAGGTTTTCACTTCCCAGTTCATCTAAAAAGAAATGAACATAAAGGTCATGTTAGCTTTGTTCTTCTGTAACAACTTTTAATTTCAACCACAGCTGACAGCCTCCTTTACAAAGAGAGTGAAATGATGCTAAGTAACATTTTTTAAGGAGCGATCATTAACTTAGAGTCAAATAAGTGCAGATTGCCACATTCAAAGGAGGTCCTAATCCTGTGAAATCTGCTTTCTTTTAGATGTGGATGGTCTGCTGAGAATGCTCACTTCAGATCAGATGTTCATCTGTCTTTATTTTTTACATCCATGGGAAGAGGAAAACAGTGGTAAGGGAAGGCAAGGGAGGTGAAACGCGAGCTTGCTCCTCTGCCCCCTTCAGTAAAATGTCCCAGATCTAAATGTTGCTGCTTCATCTCCTGTGACACCCCATGCTGATCACTGCGGCACTGTGCTTTAGTCCTGGTGGAGGATGTGGGCTCTTCCATCAAGGGCTCCCCTTGGAATTTTCCTTTTACCCCTGCTCTTTGCATGGCTGGATCTCTCACATCCTCAAGGTCTCAGCTTAAATACTCTTTCCTCAGGGAGGCCTTCCCCACCTCTTCTATAGAAAGCAGGACCCATCTTTCCTGTTGCTCCCCAGCTCAGCACCTTGCTTGCATCCTTCATGGTACTGGCCACAATTTCTCATTGGTCAATTCATCTGTTTGATTTTTTTTTTCTGTCTGTCTCTCTCACTAGACCATAAGTCCAAAGGGGCAGGGATTGTGTCTGTCTTATTCATCATGGTATCCCCCCCAGCTCTGAGCCAGCTAGCACAGTACCTGGTAATGCCTAGTCAATATCAGTGGAATAAATGATTAGGTGTTAACGTCAGTTGTTCAGCACTAGGGTTCAATACATGTCCAGTCTTTTGGACTTAGCATAGTGAAACTTCCAACAAGCTTGCTTTTAATTGCTGTTGGTTGAGGTGAGAGTCAGGTAACTGTTTACAAAATGGCTCTAATGCACATCACACTTTGAATGAACAAGTGGTGAGAACTAGAGCCTGATGTCCCAGCTGAAGCCCTGTTTCATTTGGCAGGAGAACCAACACATACAGAGAAATGAGGCAATGATGTTGAGTGGATAGCATAGGCCTGCTGCACCTTTTATGATGTGAAAACTATTGAAAAGCAAACCACTTTGTAGGAGTCCGCCAAATAGTCAGAGGTTTCTGATCCTTGGCAATCAGGGGCCTCTTTTTGTCTATCCTGGAGAAACACAGGTCCTCAGTGAGGGAACACAACCAGCAGACACCTGGAACTGAGTTCCTGGCAGCAGTGAGCTGGTGTAATTTCCTGTGGGTTGGCAAGCTTGAATGGCATTGCTAATCCAGGAAAGCTGGGCACAGATGTAAGTTTCATGCCATCACTGCTTGCCTTCCAGGAGCTGCAGGCTACGTCCACCTCCCCTCCAGTAGGATGTAAAGCTTCCTGCAGATGCCTGACTTGAGGAATTTTACTATAAATAAAGCTTCTACACAACTGAATATCCCTACAGGTGGTCCAGAAAGATCCTCCCGTTTTGTCACTCCCTCCTCTTTTTTTTTTTTTTTTTCCCTGCTTAAAAACCCCACCCCACCCCCCCCCCCCCGCCAATTTCCCAGAGAGCAAGTGGTTGCATGGCCCCACCGTTGTGGGCATGGATTTATCTTTATAATCCAGGTTCCCCACAGGCTTCAGGGTGAGCAAAAGCTAGCCTGCATGCAGATGATGGAAAAGTTTTAAAAGCCATTACAGAAGGGGTCCAGATGCACCAAATGTGAAGCTCCTGTAATCAGTATTAAAACGGAGCAAAAGGCCTTTGGTGGCCTCATCTTTGCTGCTCCATGGCTATTACCTCTGCTCCGGCCACCATGGCAACAGAAAAACATCTGGGAGAGCACACAAAGAGCAGAGCATTAAACCAGGAGGGAGACCAATTACTTGTCCTCGGCAATCAGCCCCTGCCTGCTCCACTCCACCTGGCCTATATCTATTTATGAATAGCCACCTACTCCCTTTGCAACCAGGAGGCAAATGCAGCTCTTACACAGCCCCATCTCAAATGCCCTCTTCCATTTTCCGTCCAACAATCCTTCCATTTCATCTCCTCCGACCCACTTTGTCCTCCTCCTTCAGTTCCTACATCACCCTCACTTAGCCTGACAGTACCCTCCTCTCAGACCCTCTCCCCTGTGCATTCAATAGTGGGATTGTCTGGTGGAGGCTGGGGGAGGGCAGGAGCTACAGGAGCTCTGGCTCCCTTATCTTGTTTCCCTGCTGAGCATTGAGCAAGAGAAAGAGTCCCTTTCTGGAAGATTTACTGAGCAAGCCAGGCATCATGTAGCCAAGCCTGTTTAAAGTGGTGGTTTATGGCCAGCTGTTTTCCCTGCAGCTCTTTCAGAGAGATCTCTCACATCAAGACACTGCAAATTTAATGCCTGGAGGGCTAGGAAGAATGATAGCACAACATCACATTACTGCATAATGTTTCCCTTTCCCTGGACATGAAATGGACAAGCCCAAAGGAAAAAGTAATTTCCAATTGGATGAAATGTTCTAAAAGTTTTGGCCAAATTCTGTCCAGCTGTCACATTTAAAGACTTATTTCCTGGTGTAGTATAACAGACCAGGCTCTATCAATGCGGGGAAAGACCCACTGTGTCTGCTTCTAACTTTCCCGGGGACATCACGTGTACAGGTATCCATGCCCTCCCATAAAGTATTTCTTTGGGAGCTTTCCAAGCAAAATGCTGGTCTGACCTTCCATGATAATTGTATTTTACCTTAAAAAAAATCAAATTTTGTTAATGTAAATATTTTGCTTTTATTAACTTTCAGCATTCAGTTTTTCTTAAAAGATATCCATCTTTAAGCAGCTAGTGACCACGTCTGTATTAAAGCATTGGCTGGTAAAAGAAAAAAATTCAAATAAAACTCTCTATCAAAAACTTTTGTGATAAGCCAATTGTTTTGAAATTCTTTTTCTCTGTTGTGTTTTCTAAAGTGAGGCATATTTAACGATGTGCCAATTCACAGTAAGGATATTGTACAGATTTGACTTTACCCCTAAGAGTAGATGTTCTTTAAAAAACATCCTGACATTCTTTAATGAACTCATTTATTCAACAAACATGTACAAGCAGCTAGTGTGTGTTGGGCTAGGCACTGAGTTAGGTAAAGGGAGATAATAAACTAGCACTTAGCACTTACACCAGGTACTGATTTTTTTCTAAGAGATTTGCCTATATAAACCATTTAATTCTCACAATTCTATGAGGTAGGTATTGAATCTGCCAATTTTACAAATGAGGAAACTGAATCACAGAGTCACAGTGCCAGCAAGTGCAAGCCAATCAAGCAGTGTGTGTGGTGAGTCTGGACTCTCAACCTGAATGCCACATTGTCACACAAGACAAATAAGACAAGCTCTTGGTTCTCTTGGGCCTTAATAACAACATAGACCAGGCCGGGTGCGGTGGCTCAAGCCTGTAATCCCAGCACTTTGGGAGGCCGAGGCGGGTGGATCACGAGGTCAAGAGATCGAGACCATCCTGGTCAACATGGCAAAACCCCGTCTCTACTAAAAATACAAAAAAAAAAACAACAAAAAAACATAAACCAGAAAGAAAATAAGGAAAAGAAGAAAGAAGAGAAAAGAAAAGAAAGGAAAGAAAAGAAAGGGGAGGGGAGGGGAGGGGAGGGGAGGGGAGGGGAGGGGAAGGAAGGGAACGGAGGAGGGAGGGAGGAGGGAGGGAAGGAGGGAGGGAGGCAGACAAGTCACCAACTTACGACAAACGTAAATGCTGTGAACAACAATGTGAACAAAGTTTTCTGAGAGCACAGAAGAGGTTGTAATTTATTTTACCTAGGGAGGGATTATTCAAGTCTTCTTAAAAACTGGGCCCTAGCAGGGGAGTGCAGTGGCTCACATCCGTGATCCCAGTGCTTTGGGAGGCTGAGGTGGAGGATCACTTGAGCCCAGGATTTTGAGACTTGCCTGAGAAATATAGCAAGACTCTGTCTCTACAAAACATTTTTTTTTAAATATAAAAAAACTACCCAGGCACGGTGGCACAGGTCTGTAGTACCAGCTACTCTGAGGATTAGCTCAGAGTAATGGGAGGATTGCTTGAGCCCATGAGTTTGAGATTGTAGTGAGCTATGATTGTGCCACCGCATTCTAGCCTGGGTGACAGAGTGAGGCCTTGTGTCTTAAATAAAACAAAAACAGACCTGGGCCCTGGAAAATGGGGTGGCAGTTTGCCAAGCAGACAAGAAGGAAATTCCAGACAGAAGAAATAGTATCAACCAGGCATGGAGGTATCCTGAAAGTCAAGCCATGTTCTGGGAACAACAAATACTTCAAGTGTGGTTACGGTGCAGCATACATGGGCCATGTCCGAGGTTGAGGCTGGCTCTCACTTGTAAGTGGCTTTTGAGCCATGAGACTTTCACAGAGAAATTCAATGAAAAATCAACTTCTGGACTTGGAGCCTAAGAGACTCGCCATGTGAGGGGATACCTCCAACATCCCCCACCCCTTGACTCCATTAGGCAAAACCAGCAGTGGGGCCATGTTTGGGGAAGGAAATGATGACTTTCCCTGAATTTAAAAAAATTTAAAAAGCTCTGTTTTTTTTTTTTTTTTTTTTTTAAGCTTAGAAAGAAGACTTCATATGACCATGTTATTAGGAAATCCTGAAATTTCAAGCAGTGGAGAAACATGTGTATTTCCTACTTCCTTGAAATCTATTATATCAGCTTCTGCCATGAAAGGAAATATTCTTTGGGGCTTCTTCCCCAGCTCACATTGGCCTCATCTGCTGTCTATGAAATGTTCCTCTAGCACAGGGACAGTGAGAGAGGCATGTGGGACAAGGCCATGGCCCCAAAGCCAGAGGTGCTCTGTAGTGGGTGTGAGGGACATAAAGTGAGTTTTGTATACATGTATGACTACGTATCATATTAGAGAAGTTCCTATCCTTTGAGTAACTTTTTGGCAAGACTAGAAAGCCTTCAACTTAAAAATCTAATCAGAGTGAGTTTTACTAACACAAGTCAAAAGTATCCAAGTCTGCTTTGGTTCTAGAACTGCCCTGAATCCTTGCACCGGATGCTTCTTGAATCAGAGCTGAATACTCTCAAAGTGGGTCTCTGACTGAGGGAATTTTCTATCTAATTGGTTTTCAGATTGACGTTACAGTCTTTAGATGGTTGGAGAATTTGATTATAAAAGTTAGCATAGCTTCAATGGGAACCAGGACAATGCTTCCTCCAGGACTTTTCAAGATCAAATCAGGATATGGGGTGGGGGAGAAAATAAAATCTGTGACAGAAGTATAGATGGAAGAATGCTCTTCCAGTGGTGATCACCCCAAGCCCTCTAGCTTTCCAATCCCTAACCCTAATCTGACCCACTCCTTGATCAGCCTTTCCCTTTCCGCAGTGATGAGTAATGTTATACTGGCTTATTGGCCAAAATTGTACAGGACTCTCATCTGGATTAGGAACAAAGATGGCAGCAATAGAAAAGCCTCTCCCAGAAATATGCAGGTTCAGGTCCTGACCACTGCAACAAAGTGAGTATTGCAATAAAGCAAGTAACATTAATTTTTTGGTTCTGAAATACATAAAAAAGTTGTGTTTTTCCTATAATGCAGTCTATTAAGTGTGCAATGACATTGTGTCTACAGAGACAATGTACATACCTTAATTTAAAATACTTTATTGCTAAAAATGCTAATGATCGTCTGAGCCTTCAGCGAGCTATAATTATTCTTCTGGTGGCAGGTCTTGACTTGATGTTGATGGCTGCTGACTAATCAGGGTGGTGGTTGCTGATGGCTGGGAAGGCTGTGGCAATGTCTTATTGTAAGATCACAAAGAAATTTGTCACATTGATTGACTCTCTTTCACAAAGATTTCTCTGTAGCATATGATGCTGTTTGATAGCATTTTACCCAAAATAAAATTCTTTACAATTGGCGACAATTCTCACAAATCCTGCCGCTGGTCTACCAACTAAGTTTATGGAATATTCTAAATCCTCTGTTTTCATTTCAACAGTGTTCATGGAATCTTCACCAGGAGAAGACATCTTAAAAAATATTTTCTTTGTTCATTCAGAAGAAGCAATTTCTCAGCAACTTAGTTTTATCATTAGATTGCAGCAATTCCATGACATCTTCAGGCTTCACTTCTTATTCTAGCTCTCTTGCTATTTCTATCACATCTGCAGTGACCTCTCCACTCAAGACTTGAACCCCTCAAAGTCATCCATGGGTGTTGGAATCAACTTCTTCTAAAACCCTGTTGATGCTGATATTTTGACTTCCTCCTATGAAGAGGAAATGTTCCTAATGGCATCTAGAGTGGTGAATTCTTCCCAGAAGATTTCTTCCTAGATTTATCAGAGGACTCACCATCTATGGCAGCTATGGCCTTACAACATGTATGTCTTAAACAATAAGACTTGACCTTCAAAATGACTTCCTAATCCATGGGCTGCAGAATGGATGTTGTATTAGCAGGCATGAAAACAACATTAGTCTTCTTGTATAGCTCCATCAGGGCTCTTGAATGACCGGGTGCATTGTCAATGAGTAGTAATATTTTTAGTGGAATCTTGTATTTTGAGCAGTAGGTCTTAATAGTGGGCTTAAAATATGCAGTAAACTATGCTATAAACAAACGTGCTGACATCCAGGCTTGGTTGCTTCACTTACAGAGCACAGGCAGAGTAGATTTAGCATAATTCTTAAGGGGTGCCAGATTTTCAGAATGGTAAATAAGAATTGGTTTTAACTTAAAGTCACCAACTGCATTAGCTTCTAACAAGGGAGTCAGTATATCTTTTGAAACTTTGAAGCCAGGCAGTGACTTCTCCTCTCAAGCTTTTAAAGTCTTAGATGCCACTTTTTTTTTTTTTTTTTTTTTTTAAGTACTGGCAGGGTTTCACCATGTTGGCCAGACTGGTCTCAAACTCCTGACCTCAAATGATCCACCTCAGCCTCCCATAGTGCTGGAATTACAGACGTGAGTCACCATGCCTAGCCAGATGGCATCTTCTTTTAATAGAGGGCTGTTTCATCTACATCGAAAATCTATGGTTGAGTGTAGCCACCTTCATCAATGATTTGAACTAGGTCTTCTGGACAACTTGCTGCAGCTCTACATCAGTGCTTGCTGCTTCATCTTGTACTTTTATGTTTTAGAAATGGCTTTGTCCCTTAAACCTCATGAACCACCCGCTGCTAGCTTCCAATTTTTCCTTTGCAGCTTCCTCACTTCTCTCAGCCTTTGTAGAATTAGAGAATTAGGGCCTCACTCCGGATTAGGCTTAAAGGAATGCTGTGACTGATTTGATCTTCTACACAGACCCCTAAAACTTTCTCTATATCAACAATAATACAGCTTTGCTTTTAGTTTCCTGCAAGAACTTTTTCATTGTATTTACAGCTTGGTTAAATATTTGGCACAAGAGGCCTAGTTTTCAGCCTATCTCAGCTTTCCACTTGTCTTCCTCACAAGGCTTGATCATTTCTAGCTTTTCACTTAAAGTAAGAGATAAGTGACTCTTCCTTTCATTTGAACACTTAGATGCCATTGTAGGGTTATGAATTGGCCTAATTTCAATATTGTTCTGTATCAGGAAATAAAGAGTCCTGAAGACAGGGAGAGAGATGGGGAAATGGCCTGTTGGTGTAGCAGTCAGAACACACACAATGTTTATCAGTTAAGTTCACTGTCTTCCATGAGCGTGGTTTCAGGCACCCCAAAACAATGACAACAGTAACATCAGAGACCACTGATCACAGATCACCATAAGAGGCACAGTAATATTGAAAGCATTTGAAATATTGTGGGAATTATCAAAATGTAATGCAGAGACACAAAGTAAACACCTGCAGTTGAAAAAAAAATGGTACCGACAGACTGGTTCAATGGAAGGGTGACCACAAAACTTCAATTTTTTAAAGAGAAAAAAAAGCAATACCTGTAAAGTGCAGTAAAGCAAAGTACAACAAAACAAGGTGTGCCTGTATTTTAAAATTCAATTTAGGCTGAAAACTTCTTTTTTTTTTAAGGAAAGGAGTATGCATGTATTCACTTCTGGAAAGTTTCATTAAAATATATTACTTAACACTTACTGTTGTATATAGTTCTCATTGCTTAATTTTAAAACATCTCAGCTCCTTCTCCAATCTCACCCCCAACTGTAAGCAGGTTTTAGGATAATACTCACATGTCTGTAAAGCACTCTGAGATCCTTGGCTAGAAGATTCTGTATAAAAGCAAAGAAAATTTTGTTTTATTGATTGCTAACACGTGAAGCAATTTTTTGAAAATGCAAATACACCAAATACTTACCTTGTTTAGTTCTTTTTCTTTTATAGCATGTTGCAAAGAATACCACGGATAAAAGTAAGAAGACCAATAAAATCAATGGGATCAACACCATTAGTATAAACTCTAACTGATTTTCGTTTGGGGCAATGTCGGTAGAATTCATATTTGCAGTTAATGTTTCTGTGGTGGTCACTGCAGCAAATGTGACCAAATGTAGAACAGTCCCTTCATTTGGTATTTCTGATGCCTCAGTTGTATCTCCTGAGAGTTCTAATTCCTCATCATTCCCTATGGGAACAGATACAAAATTGAGGTTACCATGGAGACAAAGTTAGTATGTTATAGTGTCAATAATTTTTAAATTATTCCTAGATACATCCGTAATAAACTTGATCCACTATACTTGGCCTCCAAGCTAAGTGTGACACAGAACATTGATTTAACATAAATGAAGCTCAAGCTGGGAGTATAGTGAATGTGAAATCAGAGCTCAGAGAAAAACCTTGCACAAAGGTAGGCAGTTTTGCATTGACCAGACATTTTAGACACACCTAAGCAAAGGGCATTAGGAAGCTTCCTTACATCAAGGGTGATTTTCCAAGCTAAGTCATGTGATATTCCAGGATATCTCCTATAGGGTATGATAATATTTTAATAAAATGCCTGAATACATTTGAATTCACATTTACTAAAAATTAAGTACATGCCATACAGCACTTTTAGATGTAAAGAAATGCAGTCTGTGTCCTAATTTTTTTTTTTTTTTTTTTTTGAGATGGAGTCTTGCTCCATTGCCCAGGCTGGAGTGCAGTGGCACCATCTCAGCTCACTGCAACCCCCACCTCCCAGGTTCAAGCAATTCTCGTGCCTCAGCCTTCAGAGTAGCTGGGATTACAGGTGTGTGCCACCATATAAAGCTAATCTTTGTATTTTTAGTTGAGGCAGGGTTTCACCATGTTGGCCAGGCTGGTCTCGAACTCCTGGCCTCAAGTGATTCACCTGTTTCAGCTTTCCAAAGTGCTGGGATTACAGGTGTGAGCCACTGCGCCCTGTCTATGTCCTATAATTTAAATAAAAGGTTACCTATTAATGGGAAATAAATCTTTGAAAATGAATTGATTGCTCAGATTACAGTATAAGCTTATACGAAATAAGCTTATACAATATAAGCTCAGTCTGCATAGAGCTGAATCTGCTTCTGAAATTATCTGACAGTAATCCTCCTGGACTCTAAATAAAAATATGATGCATATCTCATCGGTAAAGTAAAATTCTCAAGGGGCAGTTCCCTTAGGGACTAAGGAAATGATATCAATATTTAAACTTATTACATACATCTGTAGAGCTTTCTCTAAGGTCAAACTGTAAGCAACTCCATTCTATTTGAACCTCAGAGTATATTGAAAAACCATCCTGGCTCGGTGTAGTGGCTCACGCCTGTAACCCCAATACTTTAGGAGGCTGAGGAGGGCAGATCACCTGAAGTCAGGAGTTTGAGGCAGTTTGAGGAGTTTAAGGTCAGCCTTACCAACATGGTGAAACCCTGTCTTTACTAAAAATACAAAAATTAGCCAGGCATGGTGGTGCATGCCTGTAATCCCAGCTACTTGGGACGCTGAGGCAAGAGAATCACTTGAACCCAGGAAGCAGAGGCTGCAGTGAGCCAAGATCGCACCATTGCACATCAGCCTGGGCAATGAGAGCAAAACTCTGACCAAAAAAAAAAAAAAGAAAGAAAGAAAGAAAGAAAGGAAAAGAAAAACCTTCAGGATGGGAAAGGATACTGACTTGATGACTGTTTGAAAAACCTTCCCTTACCTGTCTAAGTAGTAGTCACGGGTAAGGTGAGCTCAAGGTCTTGGTCCTAATATCATATAATGTTGCCTACCTTTCAGAAGGGCCAAGTGAGGAAAATACCTTGTAAGTTTATGCTACAGAAAACTTATCAAATGAGATAATTTACAGGAAAGTTCTTCTAAGGTGAAAGGAGCTATGCAAATAGAGAAGTCAGCTGCTTTAAACCACACTCCGCAGTATAGGTTAGGCAATCACTGTATAGAATGATCGAACTGGACATCGCAGAGCCAATTCAATAGTTCATCTATCTTTATCATCCCATGATAATATTGCCATAATCCCATGACAACAGAGTCCTCTGATTTTGGTTGAAACAATAAAAATGTTTGGTCATTGCTATGAATTGAATGTTTGATTCCCCTCAAATTCAAATACTGAAGCCCTAATACTCAATGTGATGGATTAGGGCTAAGAGGTGAGGGCTTTGAGAGGTCCTTAGGTTTAGATGAGATCAAGAGAGTGGGGCCCCTATGATGGGATTATTGCTTCTATGAGAAGATAAAGAAACCCGAGTTCTGTCTCCTTGCCATGTGTGGATACGGAAAGAAGGTAGTGAGTACAGGCCAGGAAGAGAGTTCTCACCAAATACTGAGTCTTTCAGCACCTTGGTCTTGAACTTCCCAGCCTCCAGAACTGTGAGTAATAAATGTCTGGTGTTTAAGCCTTGCAGTTTGTATTATTTTGCCATGGCATCTGAGCTAAGACAGTAAGAATCTAATTGTGTTGATTACATGAATAAATACTTCAGTCTCCCACAGCAGGGAATTCATTTGATAATCCCTTTAGTAAATGCAACCCCAAGCCATCAGAATCAATTACAAACTGCAGAGTAAAGTCCCTGGTGTTTCTTACACATATATGCCAATGGCAGGATTGAAAAAAACTACCAATTTTTGAAGAGAGGAGGGGCTTCAAGCCGGCTGGGTAGATGCATCTGGCACTCATCTCTTCCACAAAAAAAGGAACAAAAATAGTGAGTAGATAAGCTACATTTGGAATTGATCATTTAAGAGAGAACACTGGAATTCAACAGAGTAGTGACAGAAAACACTTAAAGCAAGGAAGGAGAGGGAAATGAGGCACCCTTTTTGGCTGAGACTGACTGGGAGCCTGGAGAGGCTCCCCAATATGGGGAAAGGGTAAGTGGTCCATATTTCCACTGCAGACTCCTGCAGCCTATTCATGGGAGAGCCCGCCAACCCTCACAGGCCCTGAGACTAACATCGAGGGCTGCCTGTAGACTGTGCAATGGCACTGCTCCAGAGAGGGACCTCGTGCTGAGTCCCACACACCCCTGAGCCCTATGGCTACAGCACAGTGCTACTTTGAGGGCTCAGCCCCCACTAGACTGTATCTGGTCCTAGGGCCCAACAGCCCCTGCATCTCCAAGTCTCTGGAGCCCCTTTGACACACCCTGTGTGCAGCCAGCACTGCTGCTGGCTGCTGCTGCCAGGGCCAAGGTTGGAGCCACTGGCAGCACCCCTCCCCCACCCCCAGCCAGCAGAGAGGCGCTCACACATGTTTATGTGTCTCAAGGACAAACTCCACTGTCTGTAGCTATTGCTGCTATAAACTGCTGCTGCTAGGGCCAAAGCATGAGCAAAACATGTCCCTGCCCCAGCTGGCTGCTTTTGGTTGCTCCCACCAAAAGCAATCCCATCCTCTGCAGTAGCAGGCAGCAGTATAGTCACTGCTGCTTCCACATGAGCTTTCTATCAGTAGCCTGGGGATTGCTTCACCCCTGCCTATCACAGCCAAATACTGCATGCATCACTAGAGAGTTGAAGAACAGGCCTGCACAGGCCAGCTCTCTCCCAGTCCAGTACTTGAGCATGTCATTTGGGGCCTGGTGATTGCTAAGCCCAGTCCATCACCACTGGCACCACAGTATTCCTCCCAGGGGCCTGACATTGGGCTTACCCACACTGCTGCTACTATCATAGATGGCATCCACCCTCATGTACCACCTACAGGCCTAGGGACTGGCCTGCACAGTCCATTGCAACCACTACCAAAACCAGCACAGGCTACTTGGGACCCAGAGTGTGGTCCTGCCGCTGACAGTGCCAATACCCATGCTGTATCTGCTGCTTAGGGGCCTAAGAATCTGCCTACCTACCTGGTTAGCCACTACCATTCCTAGCACCTAAGCAAGACACCTGGAGGCCCAAGAACCAGCCTGCCTGGACACATTAATACCAGTGCCAGTGTACGCTGCCTTGGGACCAAGGACAGATATGCCCAGCCCACCTCTGTCACCACTGGGGCCTGAAGACTGGCCCACCTGGTATTCCAGTTCCCAGTAAAACTTCACCACAGCCTTCACTAACAACCACATCCTAAGCTGCTGGGAAGCCACAGATACTACTCACACTGGTTCCAGCAGAAGAAACCATATGGAGACTACATTAATGTACCTACCCAGAATCAAAGCCAAAGCACCCTACATAACCAACATCATAGATACACCTTGCTTTCATACGGGAGGAAAAAGTTCTCCCCTATGAAAGTAAAACCAAAAAATTGAAAGAAGCAACTGTTGTACCTGATATACAGATATCAATACAAGGACAAAAGAAACATGGAAAAGCAGAAAAATATGATGCCTGCAAAGGAACATAATAATTCTCCAGCAGCAGATTTCAATCAAAAAGATATTTATGAAATTCCAGAAAAAGAATTCAAATTGTTTATTCTAAAGAAGTTCAATGAGATATGAGAGGATACAGAAAAACAATAGCCAAAATTAAAAAATAATTCAGGATATGAATGAGAGAAATTCACCAAAGAGATAGAGATAAAAAAAAAAAATCTGGACCTGAAGAATTAATCAAATCAAATAAAATACATTTGACGGCTTCAACAATAGACTAGATCAAGCAGAAGGAAAAAAATCTTAGAATTTGAAGACAGGTCTTTGGAAATAACCTAGTCAGATAAAAATAAAGAAATAAGCAAAGCCTATGTGACATATGGAATACCATAAAGCAGAAGGCAAAGAGAAAATCAGTGTTAGAAAACCTATTTAATGAAACAAGGCCAGGTGCAGTGGCTCATGCCTGTAATCCAAGCACTTTGGGAGGCCGAGGCAGGCAGATTGCTTGAGCTCATTAGTTCAAGACCAGCCTGGGCAACATGGTAAAACTCCATCTCTACTAAAAATACAAAAATTAGTTGGGCATGGTGGCTTGCTCCTGTAATCCCAGCTACTCAGGAGGCTGAGGCAGGGGGATTGTCTAAGCCCTGGAGGCAGAGGTTGCAGTGAGCTGAGATCATGCCACTGCACTTCAGCCTCAGCAACGAGCCAGATCCTGCCTTAAAAAAAAAAAAGAAAAAGAAAACCTATTTAATGATAGAATAGATTAAACTTCCCAAGTCTAGCAAGAGATTTAGACATCCAGATACAGGAAGCTCAGAATTATCCAAATAGA